AAAAGTTACGTCCAAAATGATTTCGACCGAAAACATGAACAGTCGTGACGAACAGCAAAATGCTGTTACGCTCCAGAACCTAAATCAACCCAAAAGTCCACACGATTCACTTCCCCGATTCCCCTAAAAAATCTCTAAATCATCCCTAAGGTCTTACGGCGATAAAGGCACAAAACCTACGGTTTACTAGGCCAATCCCGTAACATATTCACGCCCTAAATCACAATTTTTCCTTCAATTACACCCTAAGGCATCAGAGTTACTCACTATCAAATATTCTTATCCCTTCAGGGTTAGACATATAACAATTCAAGGTTTTGGTCACGAAGGTCTACCTTTCCCTTTTCCCCAACGGGTTCCAGGTTAGATTCACACTAATAGGTTTAGGCCACAAAGGCCAAAGATCACTATTTCTCATATCTATACTCTAACAGTCAGGAATACTTACCACTACACCACAACCATCAGGGTTCTTACTATCAAATTTCCCTACAGGGTTAGAGTCAAATCATAGTTTTTGGCCATGAAGGCCTAGTTTCCCTTTTTCCCAAATAAATCCCTACGGTTAAAATTCTCAATAATCGATTTTAGGCCACGAAGCCAAAAATCCCTTTTTCTCATTATTCGCCTCAAAACTCTTAAACCCTTAAATCAACCTTAAATACACTGAAAGTCACACATGGAAAATTATAAAAGGCTATACTCCTCATACCTTAGTTGTCGATCAAAGCCTTCTCAATCTTTCAAGGAATCTCTCGAAGCTTCTGCCTCCAATCTTCTCCTCAGAGCTCTGGCCTCAATACTTTTCACGGTTAACAAAATGAATCTTAATTTCCTTCAGAATTCCTTTTTGCCAAACCTAGTCTTGGGCCACACAATTGGGCTTTTCCCATAACACCCTTACTAACTCCTCTTAATGCCCAAATTACCCTTATTTCACTTATATTTATTTTAACTAATAATAATACTAATATTTCCATATTGTATACTATTAATTAAATAAATAATCCAAAAATGCATAATTCTCAATAATCCACAAAACCACCGAAAACCACCAAAATACGAATATTCCCAATTAAATAAATTAATTAAAATATTCCAATTAAATTTGGGGTGTTACAATATTGGTTGTCGTTCTGCAGTTTATGATGTTGTAATTAGGGTTTTTAAAGTTTGTTTATTTTGAATCATAATTTGTCATGATTTTTGTAGCAAATATTAAATTCTAAAAGATGTTTGTTTAACAAGACATATCAAAGATAGATTTCATTAACCTAACTTGTATATATTCGATTAATGAAGCATGTTAATTCATTTCTGGTTAATACAATCATGTATCCTCTCAATATCGTCTATGTCTAGAGCAGTGTCATGAATATTATTGTATCTGTCATTAGATGATGTCTCATGCTAGCAACAAATGCAATAATCTTTAATATTAACAAAAAGTAAATATCAACTCACATATCTATGTTTATAGTTTGTTTGTTGATAGATGAATATTTTAGAACAAGGTTTGCAAAATATATGTCTAGAGTGATACAAATCATAAATAGATCTTTAAGAACAAAAACATTTAACATATATTAATCATCCACTTGTTCACATACAAAAAGATCAAAAGAAATACATACAAGTTAAGATAGACTACATCTACCTTTGGTACAAAGGTTTTAGCTACCCGTAGTCATGGTAGCTTGCTTTACAAGGAAAGAAAAAAATATGAATGAGCATCTAAGATGAAGAATCGATCTAGGATGTGAATCCAGCTTATACTTGTAAAATGTCACTCCTTGATGAAGAAATGATGAACTTAGGGTTTTCTCTCCCAAGCCAATGTTACTATTCTGAAAAAAATAAATTTATAGGGTAATGATCCCCAAAAAAGTGCTAAATAATACAAAAATATCTACACAAAATTTGTCCTGCTCGCACTGCAAACTTCACTTATAAGCACATGAAGTGTCTCTGAGCAGTTAAACCGCCCTTGAGGTTTCCTTGACTTTGCAATGTGAACTTCTTCGCTCAGGCATTGCACTCCCATCAGCAAGGGGTTTAGCTACTAGCATCCAAATGTTGCAGCTCGCTCTGGCCTCGCCTTGAGCTCGCACTGCGAACATGCTGGATTCTCCATAAATTCTTTGACTTCCTTGTCCATTCAATTGTGCCTTGTTCTTTGATAATCCAACCTATTTTCTATACAATAGCACACATATTAAGGCATCCAAAGGTAAATTCAATTTCATTGAAGAATCTCATAAGAACGTGGAATGAATCAATTGAAACTTAAGAAATGAGTTGAAAAATGCCAAGAATGAAAGTTCAAAATAAGACATATTTGACATTCAACATCATCCACCTACAATCTACCTTAAAGAAAAGTTGATTAATTTGGAGCAACAAGTTTATCCATCACCCTCTTAAGTCTAATAGCCATATAAAGAGAGTCAACTAAAGAAGTAGGCCTAAAATCACTTAGTTGCCCAAGTGATTTCACCTTAGGGATCGAAGTTATAAAATAAGATGCAAAGTTACTAGGTAACAGTAAAAGATGAATTTTCTCAAACATAATCTCTAAGTTTGACCTAAGCGAATTCTAGAATCTTCTCAGAAAGGAGAAAGAAAAACCATCAAGATTGGGACTCTTATTACCATCACAGTGGGCCATATCGCCATGCATATAGTAAAAGGAGTTATCAAAGCAATATTATCCTCATCAAAAATAGTGTGAAATACTAATCCATCAAGGCGAGGTCTATCGACATTTGGCTCATTTAAGATATCATAAAAATAGTTAAAAACTTCTTGATTAATCACAGACACCCTTTCAATCCAACTTTCACCATCCTTCATGGCTAAAATATCATTTCTTCTACTCCTACTCTTCATATAAGCATGAAAGAAACCAAAGTTAGTATCTCTATCCTTAAGTAATCTAGATTTTGGTATCTGGGATATCTGATAATTTTTTATTCTTAACGAAGATCAAAGTTATGCAATAGAGATAGATCTAACATCAATAACCTCCTCGGGTAAAGCACTCTAATTTTTCAGAGAGTCCATATTCCTAGTTGACTCTCTTAAATTTTCCATCTAAAACAATATAAGTTTCTAAACAAATGTTTATTTTAAACTTTAAAGACCGATTTGATGCGTTTAAACTTCTCCAACAAAACAAAAGCCTTTTGTTCTTGGATTAGAGTACACCAAAAAGATATGACTAACTCGGAAAAGCTACCATGAGATAATAAGTGATTATTATAACGAAAATGCTTAGGATTCCACAACTGATTAGAGTATTTAAAGGTGATAGAAGAGTGGTCAGACACACCTTGGAAAAATCCCACTAAGACATAACCTCTATTAAAGCGAAAAATGCTTAGGATCCCACAACTGATTATAGTACTTAAGGGTGATAGGGCAAAGGTCAGACACACATTGAGGAGATCTCACTGAGTATTAACCATCAATGGTCCCACCACTCAGTAGAAACTAGAATCATATCATGCCTATAGGCATCACTTCTATTGTGCTAAAACCTATTGAACATATTGCTTAAAAGAGGAAGATTAATCAACTCCATTTGAAAAAAAATTAGAAAAATTTAAACAATCATTAATCCCATAAGAGTTTAAAGAACACCCCCCCCCCCCCCCCCCCCCCCCCCGCGCAACCTTTCCCCTATAAGAAAACAAGGTTGAAATTTCCCAAAACACATTAGATATCTCCTCGAACACTATCTTTACGAAGATAGAGATTATATCACATGACATCACTTAGAGTAAACATTGACAACAAAACAAATTGTCTTAGAAACTCCCCACTCTAGACAAACACCAAGGAAACCTGGGTCCGAGAAAGAGAACAAAGATCGGTCCTTCAAGTTACATCGAATAGAAACAAGGTCATTGTTACCACCCACACACACACACACATATATATGTGTGTGTGTGGGGGGGGGTAACAATGACCTTGTTTCTATTCGATGTAACTTGAAGGGCCGATCTTTGTTCTCTTTCTCGGACCCAGGTTTCCTTGGTGTTTGTCTAGAGTGGGGAGTTTCTAAGACAATTTGTTACCCCAAAAGGTCTAAAATTTGAATCACAAAAAAATATACCCCAAAAGAAGAGAGATCCAAAAACTTCATTAATCTTAGTTTCTTGGATGACTGCAAAGTCTAAAAAGTTAGCTAAAATTAGCTATCTCATATTTTTTAATTCATCGTCTCACTCAAGTCTCTAACATTAAAGGAGCCTACCAACATCTACGACGATCCTAAAAAAATTGCACAAACTTCTATTTCATTTCTATTGTTTTATTTTATAACATACCATCGATCCAAACATCCTCTAAATTTCTAAAATTTTCAACCCTATTGTCAAACTTCTATTCATACTAATTAAACATTTATTTGTGATGAATTTTAACACTATTAGTTTCACCGTTAACCAAACAATTATCATAAACACCTGTCTAACTCTCGTGAGATACACAAGTTTAGTGAAAAAGAAAAATTTTACCCTTTTTTCACTAAACTCTTTGTCCTAATTTAAATAACTTGTTTGGCAAGTGTATTTTGCTTAACCGACTAGAGGACAAATATGAGAAATATCTAGGTAGTTCAGGGTACCTATACAATGTTGTCCATGTCTTTCTCATTAAATCAATGCCAATGTAAACCAAGACAATTAAAATGAGTCAAAAAGCTAATAATTTCACATACATTTCCACATTGCACTTCCACCTCACAAAACCCTAAACATAAAATCTCTTTTTTCTCGCTTACGTACATTTGAACTAAACCACACAATCTTTTTCTTGAAGACCCTTCCATATACGTAGTAACATTACATGCCATACAACATCATTTCTGCGACGTGTACCCTAAATCCCCCACTCAATATACTCATCTCCTTGTACCTCATGTCTTTTAAATAATACTTCACCTCTTCTCTCAGATAAACATTTAAGCATCTTATTTTTCTGTTTTTTGTTTAAGTATGAATCAAGAAAACAAACTGATCCACAACACCTCAACATGGAAGACAAGAAAACCTGCTTGCCATATTCAAACTTCATTCTCCCTTCAACATAATGATCACAGGCTCAAGTGTAACTCTTCAAGCAATGATGAGGATGATGAGGGCAAAGAGAAAGTGAACAATGAGAATGATACTAGGGTTGAGAAAATTACAGGGCGTGAGAGGTTGAAGAGGCATAGAGAAGAGGTTAAGGTACCAGAAAACTGGGAGAAGGAACCGAAGCTGAAGGAATGGGTTGATTATACAACGTTTAATGCATTAATATCTGTTCCTCATGCATTGATTGTTACTGCTCGTGATGCGCTTATTGCTGATGTACGTAAATCAAGATCACAAAGACTAAGGATCCATAACTAGCTGTAGTCTGTTTATTTAGTAGTTTATTTTGATTTTTCTTATTTTTCTTATGGCCCCTAGTACCTTTATATATACTATAGAAGTAAAATTAATGGGTCATTCATGAATTAGACCTAGCTACTATTTTTCTCAATTTGTTATTTGGCATAACAAAGGGAAAATAAGAACAACAATATAGAGCCATAGATATTTAAGAGAGTTTATGAACCAATATTTCAGATCTGTTCATTTTCATTTTGCATATTTAGTTCAAGTTTAAAAACATACTTTGTGACATGTCTCAAAGCTGATAATTGTGCTTTTTTCGAATCTAATTTTAGACTTGGATCAAATGGATACCTCTATCTCATTTTAACCTTGTGAGGAATTTTTTGCTGGATAGGTTCTCCTCTAGGGAGAATATGTTGAAGCATAAGGTTATTGTTGACACGAATGATCTTTCATGTGTTTTAAGGGGGATTGTCTTGAGTCTTTCTCTCATTTGTTTACTACCTGTAGCTAAGCTTTTACAATGTGAATAGGATATGTAAGTGGTTGAGTTTTCATGTGAGATTTTGCTATGATTTGATATGTTGTGTGTAGGCTATTTGATCTGCATGTAATGATAAGTAGTTTTTTGGTTTATCAACAAATGAGAAGAGTATTATTTTGGGTTGAAAATGATTTTTTAACAAATTTTTATTAGACTCAAACTCTTTCTTTGATTGGTTTCAGAACCCTATCTTATATCTAGACTGATAACATATCAAGAATTCGGATATGCTTAGAGAGGTGTTAAGAGATTTTAGTTTTATTAGAGATTTCTCTGGTTTCCTGTTGATGGGTATCGTCCAAGCTCTAACTGGTTTTTCTAGCTTGATGATACTTAGGTGAGTGGGTGATCTTTCTAGAACTTTCTCTTTGGTAGTTGCTCCCTATATATTATTTTATAGTTGTTGTATTTTTTTCTTTTTTATTTTTTTTACTGATTGTCTTCCTTTATCTCGACACCTCTTATGCCTTTTATTTTTGTTCTCCTGTTTGTAGAGTTAATTTATTCCCAACTCTTATTTTATTTATTTATTTAGTATTTCACCTTTTAAAAAGTGGAATTCGCTAAAATGAAAATTAAGAATTTTTTTAATAACTATTTTTTTATAAAAAAAAATACCAGGGTTTGTCATGGTTCAATGACTTATGTCTGAAGATCGTCACACCAGGGTTTTGTGCAAGTCTAAGTCATATGATGAAGTCAAGTTGTCTCGTGTAGAAATTCACCAAGGTTGATTCAGACAGATTCAAAAGAAATTATGAAAAAGTGCAAGTTGATTCAAATGGTCGTGACTTCAGTTGAAAGATGGTCAATGGCTTAGGAGTAATTTAATTCTTTTATCAGAGGTTTGTGGCAACGTTTCAAGTTTGGTTGTGGATTAAAATCAAGGTTTCATTATCCATTTTCCTTAGACTATTATCCTTTCTCCATTTTTCTCTTAAGCCAAATTTCCATAACCATAATGCATTGGTATCTATTTTAAATAACCATTTCATAATCTATCATATCCAATTTCTAATCCACTTCCTCATTCATTATTCACCATTATCCAATTCTAATTTTCACTATACCATTCATAATCCGTTAAGCCCATTTCATTCACAAATTTATTCCAAAATTCATACAAGCCTAATCATTTTTTTTACTATAACTATTGTTTAAATTACAAAAAATGCTCAAGTTCAATTTACAAAAAACCAAGTCATATACTCTCATCACACAAATTATTTGAAGTCCATTACCAATATTTTTTACAGGCCTATGTTACAAGAAAATTTACTAAAAAATGAAACAATCCAAAACGTGATGCCAAGCCGAAATTCGTATATGTTACAAGAAAATTTACTAAAAAATGAAACAATCCAAAACGTGATGACAAGCCAAAACTCTACGAATTTCTTGCCAATGCATCACTCTATAATGCTGCATCAATACCATTCTACACTCCAAACAAAACTTGCACCAACACTACCTATGTTGCCACCATGCAAGACCTGCGCAAGATACATATAAACACATCATGATCCTTCTGCACAAACCTGCAATACACCCGCTATCACAACCAAAAACCATTATGCATTTCCAAACTGTACCTCCCTGCTCCACACAACCCTAAGGAACCATCTGCCATAAGCTGCTAAAAAATCTGCAAAACTTCTGTTATCGATAACCCAACAAAATAAAACCTGCAGAATGCAGACCAAGACAGCACAAGGCAACAATGGTCCAAAAAGTTCTGCACAAAAAACCTACTGTGTAAATTGATCAGTGCATATTTATGCACATTCTCCTACATTTTTACTTAGGCATTTCTTTATTTTATTTTTCTTATTATTATATTTTATTATAATTTCATATTTTATTTTATTTTTGGTTTAATTTAATTTTCACACTTATTTTTCAGTTTTAGCAGTATGCACGAAAACGATCATAACTGGAGCTCCGGGAATCCGTTTGAGGCGTTCTAAAAATCGCCGGAAAGTTAAGAGAGAGAGCTACGACTTTCGTGTTGGAGTCGAAGTCAGATTCGGAGCCCAAAATTCCAAAATTCTGTTTGAAGTTACAGCATTAGAAATTTATTTCGTGTTGGGTCATGTTTTGGGCCTGGATTATATTTTTGACCCAGTTGGGTTTTAAACCAGATCCATTATTTGTATTTTTAAAGTAAACCTCGTGTTACTGTTCACGTTGGTCACTATTCATGCAAAAATTGTTGAAAGCTTGTAAACTCATGGAGAACTAATACTCTCTGAACGGATTCACTGTACTCAGGTTCAAACTTTGAGATTGTTATGATATTTACAATTTAATTTCTATTCCTTTCAATTATATCATGTGATTGTTGTTTGCTTAATCCAATTATCATATAGTATATTTGATTTAGTTTGATTGATCTGTGTTCCTAATTTTAATCGTAGATTAACTCTGCTTAATTGTTAATTTGCGCTATCATTTACCGTATTCTTAATCCGGCGAAAGGAACATGTTCTCATAAAATCAACCACGCTTGTTGACTGATTTTTTCATCAAATAGGATAGAAGTCCCGCTTGGGAAATTGTATTTTCATCGGTCGATGATTAGTAAGAACCGAGGCAGTGGATCTGTTACTTTAATCACTTATTTCACAACAACTTATTTCAATAATCAATTATTTTAAGTACTTTTTCTTCTTAATCAGAAACCTAAACCACCCCCCCCCCTTATTCCATTGTTGTAATTGGTTATTTCGTTACAAGAATCCTTGAGAACGATATTTCGAGTCATTGTCGCTATGCTAACATTTCTTACACCAAACTCGTTTTTGATCCGCGAGCGATTGCGGATCAGTAAACAACAACACAACAGCGTAACAAACAAATTCGAAAGGAGGGAGAAGAGGAAAAAAAATAAAATGTCGGAAGAGAAACAGTAGTGAGGACACGAACAATAAAAGAAAAAAAACTCACTGATTTAAAGTTCTTCATCACCATTTGGAACACAATTCAACCACATACCTTCATGTTGTGAATCTCACAGACCACTCCCAAATCGCTTCCTTCAACCACCAAGCATCACCACTTTCACACAAACATGAACCATCACAATCCCTCCACTCGTTCTCCCCCACGACATCACAATAATGACAGTGTTATCTGCGAAATCAAAATCGACAAAAAATTTGAGAGAAGAGAGACGAATTTAAGAAGAGGATGGAAGATCTAAACACAAAATGAAATCGAAGCAAACCTGAAAAACCAAATCAAGTTGAGCAGAGGGAGGTCGTTTTTCGCATAAGAAGGTTGAACCGTTCGTTTCGCTTTTCATTACTCATTTTTCTTCTTCATTTTTCTTTTGAGAATATTAGGTTGATAGCACTTTTTTGGCTTTTGTTGGAAGTTAATTGTGTTGTTGCTACTCTGAATATGATGTTGTTCTTGAACCATGTAGCAAATGTGGGTGGTGTTTTGTTTTTTTAGGTTTTGTTTTAAGGTCATCTGCATTGTTGTTGGAATGGGTCGTAAGGCCCATGTTGGTTTCAATTACCACCTTCCCTTTTCATTCACACCCTTCCTCTTTTTATTAATTATTTTGTTTTTGTTTTGGTTAATTATTTTAAAATAATCTTATTATTTTTGCTATTAATATTCACACACAAATCAACCTAACCTCCACGCAAACTCTTCAATCAACACACAAATCAACCAAACAACCACACCCATTTACACGAGCAATTCTAAAACCACACAACCCAGGACAAGAATCAGAAAGACGGGAGGTGTGCTTTCGAATCGCCAAAAAACCATTTTTTTTTCTATTTTTAATGATTTATTTACTGTTTTCATAGAGTCGGAAAAAATCGAAAAAATTCTCAAAATTCTATTTTTAAGTCATTAGATTAATTTCGGTGTTATTTTATTTTTCTGAAGTTTTTTTAATCAATTTCTTTCTTTGTGCTTGTTTTTTGCATTTTAGGGACATTGTTGGCATTTTGAACATTGTTGCTGCATTGTTGTGCATTAGTCCTGGCAAATAGGTCATCTTGTTCTGAACTTGTTGTTTTTGATCCTGAAGTAGAGAGAACTTTGCACACACGACGTAGAATAGTCCAGGCTATCACTAGTTCACCACACATATCTGAGTCTGAACTTGATATCAATATGGCTGATAATAGAACTCTAAGACAATTAGCTGCACCAAATGTGAATTACAACGGTTTGTGTATTGAATATGCTGCTGATGCTGTGCCTTTCGAATTAAAATCGGGTTTAATCCATTTGTTGCCCAAGTTTAGTGGTCTTGCAGGTGAAGATCCTCATAAACATTTGAAGGAATTCCAAGTGGTGTGTTCTACGCCATTGAAGCCTGAAGGGATCACTGAAGATCATATCAAAGTTCGAGCTTTTCCTTTTTCATTGTAGGGTGCAGCAAAGGATTGGATATATTCCCTCGAGCCAAATTCAATTGCAAACTGGAGTGCTCTGAAAAAAG